TATGGTATAATCCCCATATATATATAATATAATATATATTTGTATACCCCTGCAGAGAGTTATGTTGCTTAAGTAGGCATTAAAGGATTTTAGGGGTTTCTAATATAAATATTGAGGAGCATTCGAGTCTTTCTTAGGGTTATTTTTTTTTTATATAACTACGAATAATTGGGTTTACTTAAATTTGACACACTTGGGCTATACGTCTACAAGGGCATTGAGACTTCGGTACTCCGAAATTCAACTTAAGTCTAACAAAATGCAAAATCTTCCTCACGAGCATATGCAAAATAGAGTTCGGTTGCATTGACTTGACTCTCGTATATTATATGTATTTCTATATACATATTGTCGTAGGTGGTAATTCTAAAGCTAGATTGGTCCTTCGATTCTAACCAATTGCAGACTTTTACAGATTTCGACGATTTAAAAGACAGTTATAAAACTAATGAGCTACGATTTTTGATCTGTTCTGTTACACTGTTGCGTATATAAATATGATTTGTTCTCTAAATAAGACAAAAACGCGTCTCTGCTACATGCTATAAATATATATATAAATTTCGGAATATTAGACTAATCATTCTCGAAATAGCTGCTTTATGATCGATCGGCCGACCGACTATGACTAAGTGTGGGTATATAGATGTCTAAGCGGGTGCCTTATGCTGCCCAGCGTGACTTTTGCAATTCGATTTGTCCCTCCAGCGTCTTGGCCAAGTAGATAACCAGCAATTGGACAAGTGCCACGCCCAGTGCAATGCCTGCAATGGTGTAGAGATTCCGCTCAGCCCAGACGCGTACGACCTCGATGCAGCCGCTGGTCCATATTATTTTGCTGGCAGCCGCCACTGAATGCACCTGGACACCATAGCCGCACATGATGTTGACCAGGCCGGTGCTGATGTCGGTCGCATTGATGCAACAGCTGTACGGCACGCCGCACTTCTCCACCGAGGGCGAGGAGCAATTGAAGTACTCATTTTTGCTCCAATCCTGGTAGCCGGCGTTGCTCAGGCCGCAGCACTGAAACTCCTTCTGGGCGAAATCAATGAAATTCTGCAAGTCCGGATCGTCGCGATACGAGTGAATGATCTTGTCCGTAAACTGATCCTCCAGGAAGGAGTTCATGTTTTGTGGAAACACAAAGCAAATGATCGCTGCAATTGAACAATTTGAGAATCAGCTATAGTATATGTATGGAGAGAACTCATTCCATTCCACTCACCTATGGCCATTTCCATGAGGAAGAATATGAGCAGACAAAGCGAGTAGAATTTGAGTAGACAAGTATTTTCTCGCAGTGCACCCAGGCAGCCGGCAAAGCTGACCACGAATATGACAATGCCGGCGATGATCATCACCAGCGATATGTTCAAGATCACATCGTAGATGTTCTCCAGCTTCACCCAGCCGTTCGACTCCTCCCACTTGATCTTGAACGCATAGACGCCAATGCCCAGCAGCAGGCCGCCAAACAGCCAGAACATGAAGTTCAATATAAATATCATGTACTTCACCCAGGAGCTGACGAACGTAAAGTGATGCGGATAGGAGATACGCTGATGCATATCGCGCACCTCAATGCCGTAGTAGCCGCCGTTGACCCCACCTCCACCGCTGCCGCCCCCACCGCCGCCGCCACCACCACCATGACCATGGTATCTATAATTACTCATTGTTCGTTGTCTGGCTGACCTGAGCGATGCGCACTTTTTACACAGACATATTTTACTGTTATTATACGGTTAAATACATGATTGTTCGTTTCGCTTGCATTCTTATACGTTTTGTTAATGTATTTACATTGTGTGTTATTAAAACGGTGTCATTTTGGGCCCAGACACTAATCCAAACATTGCCTGTATGTATGTATATGCGTATATCGATATATCGATAAGTTGGCAAATTGAATTCGCCTTCAATGGCGCGCGATAGTTAACGGAATTAAAAGCGGATTTAGCTGTATGAGTTTTTGTATAAATTGAAACTATAATTTTATTTAGCTACTAAACTAAAGAGTAACTTGTTATTTAATTAATTAAATTAATCGCAATAGCTTAGTTCACTTTAGAACTAGTTCAGTAACAGTTCCCCTTCGACTGCGCTCGATAGTCAAAACAAGATGTGAACTGTGTTCACAATATTTGTTGACTTTAAAGATTTATTTTGTAAATGAAAGCTATAATATTTTTGATTGATGTACTAAACATTTACATTTATTTATTATGCGATTGATCTTTTTCATATATGTGCTTGTTTTAGTGGGCCAAGCTTAGCTCACTTCGGAACTAGTTCAACTGCAAACCCAGTATTTCTTCTGTAGATATATGCACGTGAATGATTCAGCGCCCAGCCTGGCAGCTGCTTTAGTCGATTGCAAGTTGTTAACAACTGATAATGGTCGCCGCTGCCGCCGCTGCTGCTGCCGTTCAAAGTTTGAACCGCGTACCATGCAAATCCCGAGAGTAGCCATTATCGCCGATAAGCAAGCCAATAATTAGATTTTGTCATATGTGCTACGCTATTTAATAGCCGTAGTAGTTCGATAACATACGCAGTCCAGAGCAAAGATCGCCGCTATGAATTTTGTGCTGCGCTTCATCATATTTTGCATTGATCCGCTTGGCCTGGGCCGTCGCTTCCTCGTACAGCCCGCTCGCAATCTCACGCTCAATGTGTACGATCGCTTTCGCAGCAAGGCCGACGAGAAGGTGGACACCATACGGGAGCTGGTGCTGCGCCTGGGCCTCATCGCCTTCGCCGTTGTGTTGATCATCTGGTTGGCCGTCTTCTTCTATGCCGCCTTCTACTATGTCTACATGCCGCCCATCTCGCATACGCGGCCCGTCCACATGCAGTTCAAGTGGGTATCGCTCTCTCTGCCTCCCCCTCTCGTTTAAACGAGTAAATCATATTCCGTAGAACCTGCCTGGAGACGAGCACACCGTGCACCTTCCCCCACGCCCACGTCTCGCTGACCAAGAAGCAACAACTGCTGATGGTGGGTCAAGCGTACAAGGTCATTGTCAACATTGATATGCCGGAATCGCCGCAGAATCTGGAGCTGGGCATGTTCATGGTCTGCGCCGAGATGCGCGACTACGATTCAATGCTGCGCGGCCATTCGTGTCGATCGGCCATGATGCGCTATCGCTCGCCACTGATCCGGCTGATATCCACATGGGCGCTGAGTCCGCTCTATGTGCTCGGCTGGAAGGAGGAGTTCCAGAAGGTGCCGGTTGAGATCTTCTCGCGCTACTTGGAGGAGCGCCAGCATCCCATCACAGACGTCTATGTGGAGATACAATCGCAGAAAATACAATTCTATACGGTGACGCTGCACATTGAGGCGGATTTTACTGGTCTACGGTACATCATGTTCAACTGGCCAATTCTGTCCGCAATAGTGGGTAAGTTGAACTTCACTTGGTTAATCTTCATTGCGAAATGGCTCAATTGGCATATACACTCCTCGACCACTTCCAGCCATTAGCGCCAATCTATTCTTTATATTGGTCGTCTTTCTGCTCAGCTGGTATCACTGGTCGGATGCCACATGGCTGCACAATTTGCAAATCCGATATGCCCGCCTCACCAATCAACTGCAGAAGAAGACCAGCAGTGTGATCCTCTCCAGCTCGAGCAGCTTGCGCGACGACGACGAGCTCAGCTTCATGGACGAGAAGTACGAAATTGCCGAACTGGGCGGCCACGGCGACGACCAACAGCTGGACAAGTCCAGCGATAAGGCGGCAGAGAGTGCCGATGTCCAGACGGTGCGACAGCGCAAAGTGGAGAAGCAGAAGGAGAAGCAGACAGAGCAGCAGACGGAGAAGCAGACGGAGAAAAAGGCATAAAGTGCCAACCCAAAGGGCCGAGCATGGCAGCTTGCCAAAGACTAAATAGGTTTACGTTCGATAAACATAGTTTTCCCGCAGCTCCAAATTTGTTATTGCTGAAGTATTTCCTCTACTCTAATGCAAAGTTAGGACTTATGACTCTGAATGATGTCCATATGTATATGAAACGCGCAATGCTTATTTTGAAAATAATGCATATCAGTGTAGGGTCTAGCTATACGCAAAGTCTGATATATAGAAATTCCAATATGTATATAAATACATATATACGCCATAAAAGCTTTTAATTATAAATGAACTGAACAATTGCTTACTGCTTGAAACATGTATTTAAATGAGATATATTATGTGCATAGACTATCTATAGATAATATCTCTGAAATATAAATATAAACTATATTTGCTTGAAGTGGATTTTACATATTTATGGATATAGCAAAGTCTGTCTGTATGGCTGTGTCAAATTGAAATTTTACATGCTTAAACTTTGATTTCAATATATTGTTAACTATCTGTGTAGCAGACACTATATAAATATATATCATAATCGTGCAACAGATGGAATATGGTATGTGAATATGCAATATTCTACCAAATACGGAAGCAATTTTAGCTAGCTATTTGGCCTTGAAAATTTTGAAAAATAGTAAACTATATGGTAAACTATTGTCAGAGTACTATATATAAGTTTCATTCATTTTATTTTATATTATATTAGCACTCTGGTATGCAGCACATATAATTGGGTTCGTTCGCTTAGACCCCAAATAAAAGCCGATCTGTTGCTGTCAGTTGAAACTTGATTCACTCACATCTGACTAACTCTCAGGTCTATAGGAACGCTCAGAGCTCGATGCAGTCGCTAAAGAGGCTCCCAATTGGACTCACGTTTGTGGACTTGAGAAGCACTCGCATTGTGCGCTGCGATCGTCCGATACTCGATGCTCTCACACGAGCTAGAGGCGCGTTTGCTCTCCGAGTTGCAAGACGAATTTAAGTAAGATAAAGAGACTCCACTGCGAAGTTGTTTATATAGTTTCATTGGGATATTATTTTTAGAAAGTTGAGACTTGTTGTTGTGGTTATGTTTTGTTTTATTTAATTTTTTTTTTATTATAATACGACTACTGTATAATTTTGTGTGTTTAAGAAACTTTCAGACCTTTTAGAAGTAAATGACAATGATTATAAAATGATACATTGTGCATTGAAAAAAAAAAAAAAAAAAAAAAAAAAAAAAAAATTAAAAAATTAACAAATAAAAACGATTGAAATTTTAATAATTTTATATTTTTTTCTTTAAGAATTTACTTTTGCAACTAATGCTTGCTAAGAATTAAAGCGAACTCAAAATATTTCGTTAACATTATTTATTTTTGTGTGTGTGTTTTTTTTTTTTAATGTACCTAAAGCAAAGTTTGCTTTTTATGTTATTTTATTATTTTTTAAAATATACTTTAAGCAATTTTTGTCAATGATAATGATTATTAAAAAAAGTGTAAATAAATATATATGTACATATTGCGATATACATATATTATTACATGTTTTTGTTTTTAATTCGTCCAAACAAATAAACACTTTAATCTTTCCTCTTTATAAAAAAGTATCGAGTTTATATATAGTATAGAGAATGGTATAGACTCATTATATATATATTGTATATTGGAGTATAGAAATCGGGCTGCTCCATATTTAATTTTGGATAAACTCACCCAGATTTCAACATGAATTAGAGCAGCTTTCGATTGCCATAATCTATAGAGCATCGATAAGCTTTTAATAAAGTAATGATCATTAAGCATCAAGAACATCATAATGAAGACTTGAGCGAATTGAATACACCATTTAATGTGGTTTAGAGTAAGACTCAGAGAAGAGTAATTTTAATAATTGATTAGGATTTCATATTGATGGTGTTTGGCTCAGTCAGACTATTGATAAATGACAAACGTTTATATGAAAAAAAA